GCTCGAGTTCCAGTGATCAGTTTTCGAGCAGAGGATCCAGAGGGGGTGTTGATCCCCAACAATGATGCACTAGTCATTATAGCGGAGGTCGCTAGCTTCGACGTGAAAAGGGTGTTTCTCGTTACGGAAAGTTCGGTCGATGTGATGTTTTATGATTGCTTTATGCAAATCAATAAGGACCTGAACTTAGAGTTAAAGCTGGTCGTGATGGCTTTGTATGGTTTTAAAGGTGTCGAAGTGAGGCCGATGGGATAAGTGACTCTTTATGTCGCCCTAGGGATGGGAGCAACTAAGAAAGTTTGGATGGTAAAATTTGTGGTCGTAGGAGCAGAGTCATCCTACAACATCATTATGGGAAGGACTAGCTTGAACGCCTTTCAAGCCGTGGTGTTGACTTATCATATGACCATAAAGTATCTAGTAGGCGAAAGTGTGGGGGAGATTGCAGGAGACCAGTTGACATCGAGGAGTTGCTATTTAACAACGGTGAGCAACAATAAGCAGATTGCCATGAGGCAGGATAACCAAAGGAGGAGACGCCGAATCCACAGAGCAGTTCTCGGTCGAAAGAAGAGAATTCAAAGTTGGATAAACAACCTGGAGGTGAGATCGATTAGGTTCAGATGGTTGAAGGGAGCGATGATTGGAAATTCAGAATCGGGAAGGAGTTCGAGGAGCCATTGAGGTCGAGAATGGTTGAGTTGGTGAGGGAATTTGCATATATCTTTTCCTATATTGCGGAGGAATTGATAGGGATTGAAGCAAGTGTGATCGCGTATTGAACATTGACCTCAGTGTGAGGCCGGTGAAGCAGAAGAGAAGACATCATGGAGCCGAGATGGACAAGGTGATCGAACAAGAAGTGGAGATATTGCTGAGAGCGGGGCACATCAATGAGATTAAATTCCAGGAGTGGTTATCTAACACGGTTATGGTGTTGAAGTCAAAATGAAAGTGGCGAATGTGCATTGACTTTCGAGATTTGAACAAGGCATGCCCGAAGGATCTATAGCCGTTTCCTAGGATCGATCAGTTTGTCGACTCTAATGCGGGGTGTGAGCTGCTCAGCCCAATGGACGCGTCGCAGGGGTGCAATCAAATCCTTTGGGCCAGAGAGGATAGAAAAAGGGTGAGTTTTGTTACGAGTAGGGGGACGTACTGTTATGTGGTGATGCCCTTTGGGTTGAAAAGCACGTGGCGATGTATCAAAGGCTTGTGGATAAGATTTTAAAGGATCAACTGAGCCGAAATATGGAGGTATATGTGGACGACATGTTGGTGAAGAACAAAAAGGAAGTCGATCATGTAAAAGACCTGAGGGAGACGTTTATGACATTGATGAGGTATGGGATGGAACTCAATCCAGCTAAGTGTTCATTTGGAGTAAATTTGGGGAAATTTTTAGGATATTTGGTGACTAAGCGTGGGATCGAGGTGAACCTAGAAAAAGTTCGCACAGTAGTGGAGCTGAGGCCACCGACGAATGTGAAAGGGGTGCAGGTGCTCACATGTTGAATTGCAAGTTTGAGTAGATTCATTCGAAAGTGGCGGAGAAGAGCGAACCATTGTTCAAAACATTGAAAAAGAGCTCGGAGTTTAAGTGGACTGAGGAGGCCCAGAAGGCGTTCGAGGAGCTATAAGGTGTATTAGCTAACTTGCCTTTGTTAGCCAAGCCAATTCAGGGAGAATACTTTTTTCTTTATATTTCTATCATGGAGATTGCAGTGAGCTCGGCACTACCTAGAGAGGATGGAACGGCTCAATTTTTGATTTATTATGTGAGTAAGGTGATGCAAGGAGCCAAAGTATGTGGAGATCGAGAAATGTGTTTTGGTGGTGGTGGTTACGGTGAGGAAATTATGGCTGTATATTAAATCACAAAGTGAAGGTAAGGACGAACTTGCCGCTGGGAGCAACACTTGGTCGGCTCTCGGTATCGGGTCGACTAGTAAAATGCGAGGTCAAGTTAAGCGAGTACTCAATTATCTACGAGCCAAGGAGGGCGATTAAGGCTCAAGTGTTAGCAGATTTCATCTAGGAGGGCACGAGGTTGGAGGTCGAATTAGGAGGAGTTTGGCAGTTTTTTGTGAATGGTTTGGTGTCGAAAGGAGGAGCAAGCTTGTGCATTGTCCTCATTTCGCTCATATGAGATAGTCTTGAATTTGCGACCAAGTTGGGGTTTTGGGTGTTGAACAATGAGGCCTAGTCCAAAGCGGTGATTAAAGGGTTGTAGTTGGCCATAGCAGGTGGAGCTAGAGAGATTCAAGTGCACTCGGATTTACAATTGGTTGTAAGGCAGTTCTAGGAGGGTTTCGGGGTAAAAGAAGAGAGAATGCAGAAGTATGTCGATGAGATGGGGAAGTTACAAGGAGAGTTCAATTCATTTGAGATGATACAAATACCTCGAGCAGAGAATGGTCGGGCAGACCTTTTGTCGAAAATAGCGCATACCTTGGTGAAGAAGTGTTTACAGTACCAAAAACATATCCCCTTATACATCAACCGGCCAAGACAATGACGAAGATGAGTGCCCCTATTCCATTCGCGCAGTGGGGGATCGACCTAGTAGGACCAATGCCGTAAGGAACAAGCCAAAGGTAATTATTTATCGTGGCGGTCGATTACTTTACGAAATAGGTGAAGGCCGAGCCCTTGGCCAAAATCATGGAGGAAAAAGTCATAGACTTTTTATATAACAATATTTGTTGCAGGTTTGGAGTCACAAAAGTGTTGGTGTCCGATAATGAAACGCAATTTAATGGTAAGCTGATTCGAGCATGGTGTGAGGACATGAAAATCGAGCAATACTTTGCTTCTGTAGCTCATCTGCAAGCCAATGGACAAGTCGAGGTGACCAATAGGATCATACTGAACGGGCTGAAGACAGGGCTTAAAAGGGCCTTGGGGGCGTGGATCAACGAGCTTACATCGGTACTTTAGGCATAAAGGACCACCCCAAGGTCGACGACAGGAGATACCCCGTTCAGTTTGGTGTATGTGATGGAGGCTTTGTTACCAGTCGAGGTGGAGTTTCAATCTCAGAGGTTGAGTGCGTATGATCATGGCCAAAATAAGGAGTTGATGGTAGCGGCCTTGTGCACAATCGAGGATCTTAGAGAACAGTCATCGACCAGGGTCGAGGCCTACAAACAGAGGATGCGAGCAGCCCATGACAGAAAGGTGAAAATACAAAAATTCCAAGTAGGCGACATGGTATGGAAGAGAGTTGACGTGCTGAAACATGTGGGCAAATTAGAGCTAAATTTGGAGGGACCATACTTGATCGAAAGAGTACACGCTGGCGGAGCATATTCATTGAAGGATGCGGAGCGACGATCACTAGCGAGGTCATAAAACATCGCAAATTTGAAAAAATATCATATCTTAATTTTTTTCTTTTTTCAAGGATTAAGTGAAGAATGGTGTAATTGATTTTTTTGGATCGTATTTAATGGAGATCTATGTTCTTGCTCTATATTATTGAAGTATCAAGTTATCTTGTTTGGTGTGTTTTGGTATGACCTCAGTGGCAGGTCATTTTGGTATATCAAAAATCCACCATGATGAAGGCTTCAGAGCTGGGTGGTCGATCTGAATACGAGGTCGAAGAAAAAATCCACCATGATTAAGGTCATGAGGCTGGGTGGTCACTTGTTTTGAACATCCCTTGGGGTGGGCAAGTGGTCAAAGAAAAATCCACCATGATTAAGGTCATAAGGCTCGGTGGTCACTTGTTTTGAACATCCCTTGGGGTGGGCAAGTGGTCGAAGAAAAAATCCACCATAATTAAGGCTGTGAGGATGGGTGGTCACTTGTTTTGAACATCCCTCTTGGGGTGGGCAAGGGATGGTCGATGGGAGAATCTAACATGATTACGGTCACAAGGATGGGTAGTCACGTGCTCGAGTTACTAAAAGTGAACGTCTTCAACGGAGGGACAACTCGGGAAGAAATTTAGAGTAATTTTTAAATAAATCTTTACAAAGTGTTGGAGTTGTTAGAGGTGTTCGGGTTGCTCAAAAGATAAAATGAGTTATGTAGTCGCTTGTTAGAGTCATACTAAATGCACATTAATGAATTCAAGAATGCACATTAGCATAAAAACGTGCATTTTCACGGATGTTCAAATTTTATGTACGTATATTAATTAATTTTTTAAATTAGCAACAACTTAACTCTAACCACTGGATTTGAAATTTTTATTGTTTAATTTAAATGTCAAATACCGAAAAATAAAATGATATAATACAATCAGACCGATAAATATTAAACTATTCAACTTAGGACTTTGCATTTTCAAAATTTTAATTTGAAATCATTATCAATTTTTTAAGATTTTAGTTGTCATTTGAAAATATAACTATACTCCCTAAAAAATATATGTTTTTAAATATTTTATTGTTTAAATGTTGTTGCAAAAATATAACGCAAAATAGCGTGAAATAGTACAAAATAACTTAAAAAGGCGTGTCATTTCAACATTTCGAGTAACCTTTTCAGGAAAAACGCTAAATATATAAAGTTATGTCGCGTTTTTTTAAAAGTAATATTGTTGAACAAATTGCACATTAATGACAAGCGAATGCACAATATCAAGTGAAACCGACCGAACTAAAAATTTTAGTTCGAAATTTTATATTTCAGTTCTATTATCTCCATTTTTGTTTTCACTTTTAAAATATTGTTACTTAGATTCAATGTCGGCTTTATTTTTTTTAAAATCGAAATAACTGAACAACCGAACTATATAAAAAAATATATTAAATATTAAATCAAAATATTAAATTCTAATAAACTTTTGATTATTTATAAATTTGACCCATGAACTCGATTGTAACATATAAAAGGTTTTAAAAATTGCAATTAAGCCCTCGTGTCTTATCAAATTTTCAAACACAAGCCCACATTTTTTTCCAACCCATTCTCGGTTCTCTCCACTTGCGTCCCTTCTCATTTCTCTCCACCTATGTCTGGTAACTCGTTCTTCGTCGGTTCTACAGCAGAGGTCCTCGAATCTCCCGCAGCCATCCCGACAGCGTTCGACGGATCGATGGAGAACTTCACGCCCCCAAACCGACTGACATTGATGCTTTGTTGGAGCTTCGTAGCCGGGAGGATGATGACCGGCGCAAGAGCCATGACAATGTGAGTCGAAGGAGAAACGCGACTGGCCGGCATGAAGCTTCGACGGAGGCTGACCGGCGCCCGTCTGTGGTAGGACTGGACCATCGTGCTTGTGATGGACGGCGGACGCCTCCGGTGGCGACCGGTGGAGCTGAGGCGACCGTTTATAGTGGAACTAGACCATCGTGCTTGTGGCGGACGGCAGCCATCTCTGGCAGCCACTGGTGGAGCTATGGTGGAACTGAACCATCGAGCTTGTAACGGACAGCGGCCGTCTCTGGTGGCGACCGGTGAGCTACGACTACAGGTTGGCGGGCTCACTACTCACGCGGCTGTTGTGGACTTTGCCTGAATGACTGTGTGCCTGTGTGTGTGTGTGTGTAAGAGAGTGAGGGTGGGGTAGGTGGCGAGAGGTTGGTGGTTAGGGTTAATGTGTGTATTGGTGGGTCCCACAGGTTTGTGTGTTTGAATCAAATGTTCAACTTACCCTTAATTAGTGGTCAAATGTCTATATTTTACCATGATATGTTCATTTATTTACGAAAATGTCACAACATATTTGACTGCTACTTAATAAGTTTGATTTGATCTTGGTCATTGATACAGCGGATCCAATGGTAGATATCTATTCTTATTTGTTTCACTATCTACTATTCTCAAATGATCCCTTGTCTCTCACACACACACTCTCTCTCTCTAGATATATCCCTCCCTATATAATAATTCAAAACGTGCTGAGCCTAGGTGGCAGGTTCACACGCTTCGGATGCTGACATGGCAAAAATCTATGCTTTGGAATGTTGTTTGTAGTTTAATTTTTTTGCTTTTAAATTACGCTTGGTATAGACATAAATAACTTTTTTCAAACTTGGTAAGTGTACATTTAATTTTGTTATTTTTTCTCTTAGTACAAATTTCTATCTTAATTTGGCTAGTAACAACCTTACCATCTTATAATTTTCTCCATTTTTCTCTCCTAAATTACGATTTACAAATCACTTTCTGCACTGTCTATTCCTCTTTTTTTTTCATTACTCAATCCATCAAAATTTTTAAATAAAATTTTATTTTAGCAATAACTTTTAGGCTTAATGGCGGGAAAATACACGACCTTTACGTGTTTGACCATTTAATCACCACCTTTAGACCTTGGCAAATAAATACACGACCTTCACATTTTTGGCAACCCGATACCTGGTTTGGTCTGCAGTTAACGGAAATCCTACGTGGCTTTTAAAACTGACAGACACACCAAACGGGCATCCCAGTCAGCGCCAAGGTGGCAGGGTCGGGTAGTATAAAAGCCGAATGTGCCTCAAATTTTCCCCAAAATCTTCATTCACAAAATCGATTTTTACATGTTGAAGCCCTAGATCATCGATTTGCTCCTAAATTCAGAGGGTGTGTCTTCCATATCATCGATTTGCTCCAAAATTCAGAGGGTGTGTTTTCCATATCATCGATTTGACGTCATGATTGCAAGGTAACTGCCTTTTCTCTCTTGAAATGTTTAATTTGATTTTATATTTTTTAGGGTTCGATTTGTTAAGTTTTCCAATTTACAGCGATTTCTTTCTATTATTTATCAATCACAAGGGTAGATTTGTGGTTGTCGATGGGTATGAGGCGTATTATGGTGATTGCGTTGCCACGGTTACTGGGTTGGATGCAGATAGGCTAGGTTATTTTGACATTGAAGATGAAATGAAGAAGTTGGGATATGAAAACTGGGGTAGAATATGTTATAAGCATCGGACAACACGTGAATTTAAAGATATAACAGATGATGCTGGTGTTATGGACTGTTTGGGTCAAATGCAAGAAAACAAAAGATATGTTGAAATATATGTGCAAACTGAACATTTATAGAGACCGTGTGGGGTTGCTGTGTGTCAACAAAAAAATGAATCTAGGAATAGGGTATCTGAAGTTGCTGAGGTGGACCAAGCAAATGATACTAGTGAGAAGCTGGTTGATACTAGTGACAAGCTGGTTGATACTAGTGACAAGATGGTTGAGTTTGCTTTAGATGAAAGTGAGGATGAGGACTATGAACCATCTGGAGAATCTTCAAGTGATGATGGTTTGTCTGAGGAAGATTTAGGGACAGATGATGAGGAGTATCTTGAGGCCAGGAGAGAAGTTTTGAACTCCAGAAAGTGACAAGATGCTGGAGATGCAAACATTTCCTTTGCACAACCATCTGCACATCATGAGACTGATGACAGCATTACACCTGCAAGAGATATTGAGTCAGAATATGAAGATTCTGAAGGGAATGTGAACACTGATTCATCTAGTGGTAAGGGTTTTGGTGATGATGATGATGAAGCAAGGCCTAAGAAAAAGAAAATTTGTTTATGATGGTAAGGGATATCTGCAGGCATTTCAATTTCAGCTTGGGATGAAGTTTGAAAGTATTGGACAATGTAAGAAGGCAATTCAGTGTTATGCAATCTATAATGGCTGCAACATAAGTTTCTTCAGAAGTAGTTCAAGTCAGGTTGAAGCTAAGTGTGAAGTGGGTTGTCCATGGAGGCTTTATGCTAGTCTGATAAAAGGTGAAGGTAGTGTGGCTATCAAGACCTTTGTCAATACCCACAGCTGCCATAGGGACTTGAACACTAAACAAGCAGTTGCTTCATGGGTTGCTGGGGAGTATCTACCTATGATTAGGAAGAAGGCTAAGATGAAAATTTCTGACTTAGAGGATTCTATCAGTGAAAAATATGGTGTGCAACCCTCTAGGTGGAAACTGTACAAAGCAAAAACTAGGGCTCTTGAACTGCTTAGAGGTACAGAAGAGGAGCACTATGGAAAACTAAGTAGGTACATTGCAGAGCTTCAAAGGGTTGATAGAATTGGCACATTTCAGCTTGTCCTGGAGAGTGGCAGTGTATTCAAAGGTTTTTATGTTGGTTTTAGTGCACTCAGACAAGGTGTCTTGCAAGGCTGTAGGCCAATAATTGGTTTGATGGGTGTTTCTTGAAGACCTTTTTAGGAGGTGTTTTATTGTGTGCTGTTGGCAAGGATGGGAACAACCAGATATTTCCCTTGGCATGGGCAGTTGTGGAATCTGAGAATGAGAGCAATTGGAAATGGTTTCTAGATATTCTTTTTCAAGATTTGGGGATAACAGATGGACTTGGATGGACATTTATTAGTGATCAACAAAAGGTTACTTTTTGAATCATATTACAGGCATTTATATATATATTTCTTTATTTGTCTTGTCTCTAATATTTGTTCTTCTTTAACTCATTATGTAGGGACTCAGTTTGTCTTGTCTCTAATATATGTTCTTTTTTAACTCATTATGTAGGGACTCATTGCTGCAATAAGGGATCTCTCACCACATGCAGAACATAGAAACTGTGCACGGCATGTGTACATGAACTGGAAGAAATCTCACAAATGCAGTGCACTTAAAAGCTGTTTCTGGAGGGTAGTGCATAGCACATACAACGCAGCCTATAAGGAGGTACTTGAAGGGATGAAGGTAGTGGATAAAGAGGCTTATGAGGAATTCATGAAGCTAGAAAATGTCAGGTTCTGTAAAGCTTTTATCCTTGAGAATCCAAAATGTGATATGATACTTAATAATGTGTGTGAAACTTTCAACTGTATCATAGTGAAGGCAAGGAAACAACCTATTGTTGACATGCTTGAGAGTATTAGATCTTATGTAATGGAAAGGTAGCATCACAAACTTATGTTGACCAGTGGAGTAAAAGACACAATATGTCCTAGGATAAGGAAAAAAATTGAGGAAAATAAGTTGAGTAGTAGGTTGTGTGTGACCAAACCTGCAGTGGATGAAAAATTTCAAGTTGCCATATCAGATGATCAATTTGTAGTTGATTTGAAGTGCATGACATGTAGTTGTAGAAGCTGGGATATATCTGGTATACCATGTATCCATGCTTGTTCTGCAATTCATTACATGAAGAGGGATGTAGTGGATTTTGTCAGCCCATACTTCTGTGTAGAAAGAAATTTGAGAGCATACTCCTTTTCTCTTGAACCATTAAATGGACCTAAAATGTGGCCTGATGCATCTGGGTCCACTGTCAAGCCACCTCCATTTAAAAAGATGTCTGGTAGACCTAGAATAAGAAGGAGAAGAGCACCTGAAGAAGAGGCCAAGAGTGACACTAAGCTGAGGAGATTTGGACTACAAGTGACTTGTAAAAAATGCAAGAAAATTGGGCATAACATCAATACTTGCCCCAATGAAGCTGCTCCTGCACAGACAATAGTGAGTTTTATTGTTAGTGCTTATTTATGAACATTTATAATGCATTACGCTAATATCTTTCTTGTTAAATTGCAGAAAAAGAGAGGGAGACCAAGGACAAGGGAGCAACATGTGGAGTCTTCTGCAATAGATTGGCAGCCAACAAACCCAACACCAGTCCCAACACCAGTCCCAACACCAACCCCAACAGCACCACCACAAGTACCACAAACACAAGCCCCAACAAAAGCCCCATCCACAAGAGCAACCACAACCAGAAGAGAAACCACAGTCACAAGAGCAGCCAGAACAGCCCCAACTACAAGATCAGCCACAGTGGCTATGCAACAGACAAGGAAGAGTACCAGGATTAGGAGTGTTGGACAATCATCTCAAACTGTACAAGCTATTAGATGGTAAAAAAGCTAACTTTATTTTCTTTCATAAAGCTAAATGTCAGTTTAGTTAACTTATTGTTGTTTTCATTCTTTAGGCAAAAAAAGGATATGGTGTGATGGTCTCTGAGCAGACAGGAGACATTTATATGAGGGTATGCATCATTGTTTACCATATGCTTCCCTGTGCCAATTTGTTATGCATTTTTCAGAAAATTACTTAATTTGTTCCACAACTGCTTAATCAGATGCCAGGGCAAAGTAGAGGTAACTTTGTACCTAACAGCAGACCTGGATCAGCACATGGACAAAAGAAACAAACATCCGATAATTTCCCAAGAGATCAGGGGACCCAAGAGAGTGTTTGCAACTTTTCACCTTAGTTGTCATGGATATGTACTGTTGTTAGGTTTTGGTGATGCTATTTCTGAACTGCCTTATTTTTTTTATGTTTTTGGTTGTTGGGTTGGAGATGCAGATGTAATTTCTGAATTTGGATTGGAGATGCAGTTGTAATTTCTGAATTTGGATTGGATTTGATGATTTTGGTTGTGGAATTTCTATTGGATTTGACTTTGAATTGTCTAAGGATGGCAGCAAGACTTTTGTTAGTAAACATGTCTTCATTTTCATGTTGTTTGGTATTTAATATGCTTGTACACAGATTTGTGCTTACAAGATGGTTGTGAAGTGAAATAAAGTAACTGTAACCCTAACCAAAATAAGCCAAAATGATCATTGTCAATATTAACATACAATATATTGCACCAACATACACATACACTTAAATAAACTTACAGAAAACATAAGTTGATTAAAAAAAATAAATGCCATAACAACTGCAAAGTATCCAAAAGGCAGCATCAGAAATGGTTCATTGTCAATACATAACCGAGATGAAGTTACAAAAACTTAAAGCTAATTCAACATCAATCAACCATTTTCCCCTATACCCAAGGAAAAAAGCAAAACAATAAATAACACAACTGACACACACACAATACGGTTTCTGAAGATGTTTCTCTTGGACAAGACTTGTACTTACTCCTCCAAGTCATTTACTTTGGATTTAAGGCACAAAAGTCCATCCTCCTTCATTTCCAGCCTCTCAGTCATTGCTACTGCGGTATTTTCTTCGCATTTTAATTGCTCCTCCAAGTCATTTGCTTTGGATTTAAGATACAATAGTTCATCATTCTTCAATGAGAGCCTCTCAGCCATTGCTACTACAGTGACTTCTTTGCATTTTAATTGCTCCTCCAACAATGTCTTATCAGCCTTCAGTTTCAAAAAACATGATTTCTGAAATGGTCCAAGCTCCGGATCAATCCAAGAAAAGTATCTACAGGGTTTCTTTTACAAAGAAGCAAGGATTATAACAAATCACATAATCTAAAAACCCATAAACTAAGTTCATGTCATAAAGCCAAAATTTTTCAAACTGTGCTCGTAAATTCAACTAGTATTTTCTGAGTTCATTTCATCAAATTCAACTCGCACTTCACATTGAACAGGACTATTCATCTCAGATCGGCCACGCATGAGATTACAAGGACTACGCCAAATTGCAGCCATATCGGCATAATTGCACTCATATCGACACAAAACATAATCAAAACACCAAATTGCAACAGGAAATCGAACTCACCTCTGGGTTGATGCAACGTCGAAATCGACGACAAGGATTGAGGTTGGTATTTGATGTGAATATACCTGGTTCGTCTCCACAGCAACATTCTAATTTGAATCTCCTTGAATTTGAGCTCAAACTTGCCGACATTTCAGCGCAAAATTGGGGCGATTTGGGCGAATTGTAGTGAAATTAGGGTTCGATTTTGTGAATGAAGATTTTGGGGAAATTTTGAGGCACATTCAGCTTTTATACTACCCGACCCTGCCACCTTGGCACTGACTGGGACACCCGTTTGGTGTGTCCGTCAGTTTTAAAAGCCACATAGGATTTCCGTTAACGGCAGACCAAACCAGGTATCGGATTGCCAAAAATGTGAAGGTCGTGTATTTATTTGCCAAGGTCTAAAGGTGGTGATTAAATGGCCAAACACGTAAAGGTCGTGTATTTTCCCGCCATTAAGCCTAACTTTTATAATATATTTTTTAACTCAACACCCGTGTAGTACACAATTACATAGAGATTTAGAATTCAATGAGAATGGTAGATAATGAAAGAAATAAGAATAAATTTGTACCATTCGATCCCTTATATCAATGGTCATGATGAAGTCAAATTTAATAAATATGGTCAAGGATGGAATGGCAATCTTGTAAATAAGTAGATATATGGTGGGTAAATATATACCATTTACTACTAATTAAAGGTAAATTAATAATTACATTAATGCCAAATCACACAGTGAGTCCCATATATCCCACCAACCCTAATCTCTATCCCACACACAAACACACACAACACACATTAGACTGTTGTCTACAATTTCAGTCTTCTCGGCCAACATTCACCAGGCCCCCGCCGCGCCTCCGCCACGCCCCTTCCACGCCTTTGTCATACCTCCATCGCCTGACCCTAGAGAACGACGGCACAACAGCCCGCCATTTCACGGAGTCTACACACGCACAGTCCACCGATGGCCACCAATACCACCGTCGGCCACAGACGACCGTCGTCGCAGTCATCAATATTACTCCTCCGCCTATATGCAGCCCACCACCACCAGCTCCTCCACCGCCTTCCGACGCAGCCGCCATTAACATATATTTTCTAAGTCCAAATTCGCCACATTACGCGCCCGCGCACGAACACACAACGTGTGCCGCTCGCCGCAAATGGTCACGTCACAGCCACAGTGAGCAGTCCTGTGCTCGTCGCCAGCGTTGAGCAGGTGGATGATTAGTCGGTTTTTTTTTTTTTTTTT